TATAAAAAAAATACTTTTTCAAAACATTAATAAATTTTTAAAAATCACTGGAGCTGTTGAATACCGTAACAATGATTTTTAAAAAATTTATTGCTTTGGGGGTTGGGGCCGTCTCTTAGTGTAGAAGTTTACATTGTTGGGGTGGGGGGGGGGCTTGGGGGGAAGTTTTCAAGAGAAAGCAGGGCGCATGAGAAGCAAAATATATGTAAGAGATATTTGAAACTAAATATATATAAAATATACTTTTTCTAAACATTAATATATTTTTAAAAAGTTAACTTGCATTGTTTTCTTATTTCTTCCATTTATTTATTTTTTTAAAAAATTATTTTGTTGAACTTTTTAAGATAATTTAGACAGTGTTATCTATACTTTCGGGAGAAAGCAGGACGCTTGCGAAGCAAAATATATATAAGAGATATTTGAAACTAAATATATATAAAACATAATTTTTTAACACTAATATATTGTTAAAAAGATAACTTACTTAATTATTTTTTCTTATTTCTTCTATTTATTTTTTTTGTTTGTTTGTTTGTTTTTTTTTGTAAATAATTTTGTTGAAATTTTTAAGATAGTGTTATCTATACTTCCGGTTGCACTTATGCTACGTGTTTTGTTTTAAAATTCAAGTCAAAAAGTTAAGCAAATTAAACATGTACATGATTGTGCTCCTTGTGCTATCAGTTGAAAAGGCGACATGCGCGTTTTCAAGTGTCGGGAAATCGTTTTTGGTCGCGCTCCCGTGGATGATGCGAAGTCCCAACACCAAGGAATCCTCCTTGATTTCGTTCAGCATGTTGACGTACTCGAAGAAGAACCTCACGGTCCACATTAGCACGCATCACCTCGAGCAAAAAGACCTAACGCTGGATGTTAATTTCACGCTCACCTTCAGGCAGATCCGGAAATTCGTTCACAACACGGGTAATATGTCCGAAATTAAAATGGGTTACTCGTGGAGCTACGGGATTACCGGCAATAGAAAATTCTCGCTGACCGTTCTTGTGAGTCCGAACCGACAATCAGTGGCAGGATTCCAGGCCATCCCAGAGTCATCGTGGGGGAGGCGTTATTTTGCCGTGACTTTATTAGAATACCCTTCCATTCAGATCATCAGCAACTCGGATGGGAACAGTGTTAGAATCAGATTTCATTTTCAAGACAAAAAGTCTCCCGGATTTTTGTACAATGAAGTAAACTACGGCTCCGGGACCATGTTGCAGTTTGATCTGGATAGTAAAAAAAGCTTTCACATTCATCAGTGCGACAAAGAAGAACAAACGAGAACAGGAGCTTTGACGGGGTCTCTGATCAGCGGCAAGCATCCTATCGGCGTTGTCAGCGGCAACTGCAGGACGGCCACGTTCACCAGCAACTGCAAGAGTAAAACTTTCAGTCAGTGGGGTGCAAGCTCTGACGTTGTTGCGGAGATGCTCCCGCCCATCGAAGCGTATGGAACGAGGTTTGTTGTGGTTACCTTGGCGGAAAGGAAGACGCCCGGGGCGCTTGTGGTCGTGTCCAGCGAGAACAAAACGGTGGTAAGCCTCGCCATGACCCATACAAAGTTTAAACGAATAACTTTGGAAACTGCGGGAGACTTCAAGATGGATCTTGCCATCGACGACAACCAAATGCTCTTCAGTGACAAAAAGATACAGGTGGTCATAATGATGAGGTCATCTTGTCGGGGCGCCGACGAAAACGAGCCGTTTGGTAACCCTGCCATCAGCTTGCTCGTACCGACCGCGCATTTTTACATAGAGTATTACTGGATCGCATACAATATTTCGTCCCGTGCCCACGTCATGTTGGTAGCCGAAAAAAACCACACTAAATATCTCCTTCTTGATTCCGAAAAACTGCCGGACAAGACCCCTTGGAGCGCTGTAATAGGCTCCACGACGTACCTCGTGGCGACATTGAATTCTTCCGCGGGAGGTCATTCCGTGACGTCGTCTAATTATTTTCCTTTCGGCTGCTACCTCTCTGGGATGAGCGTAAACTCCCAATACATGACACCAGCCGGATTTATGAGCTGCATTCCGACAAGAGAAAAACCTAAACCCGATGACGGGGTTGACAACGACTGTGACGACAGCGTAGACGAGGAGGCGTTCAACGGCGTGGATGATGACAGTGACGAGAGGATCGATGAAGACACCTTTCTGGTGCCAAATAAGAAGACGATGAAAGTCAAAGGCGGATGGGGAGAGTGGCAGCCCTGGATTTGCAACCCGACCTGTGAACTCGTCTTCCCATTTCGTTTGCGCATATGCGACAACCCGACCCCTAGTCTGGGCGGAATTTACTGCCCCGGGTCTGATGAGGACTATTCGAACTCCACGTGCGAAACTGACGCTTCCTGCAATGCCGAATGTGAAAGCTACACGTGGGGAATAGCCTGCGAGAACACCTGCTACAAATGTCTAGAGAGCTGCGATGGTAACACCGGAGTGTGCTCTCGGTGTAGCGCTGGTTTCAAGAATGCTTTCGGCGGGTGTGACATGGCCTGCGAGGCGAACGAGTATGGCGAAGACTGTGTTGGGAACTGCGTGGAAAAGTGCGGGGTCGACTGCGTTGACAGAGCGTCAGGCGCATGCCCCGTTTCTTTACTGTTCAAGTACATGGTGTACGCGCCAATACTGCTCGCAATACCGGTATGCTGCTTACTTAGGGTTAGCAGGCACCACTTTGCTGAGGATCATAGTGAATTCACGTTAAGCTCCCAGGGTAGCTCAAGGTGATTTATTGCCTTAGATTTGTAGTTGTTTTTATGTTTTTACAGAATAACCTGCTTTTGATATGTCGAGGGGATGAAACAAGACAATCTTTAAAGAGGGCAGACAGAGGAAATAGCCCAAATGAAAATATTAAAACCTGTCAAAGTGGGTAAAAGAGCACAATTTTGACCCAGGTCGTTGTCAGAGATATATCGAGGGCTCTGTCCCACAGGAGATTGCCTCCCCCTCCCCACTTCAACCCCATGCTCAAATCTCCTTATTGTATATGCCATGGCCATAATCTTAGCATGTGATTAAAAAAATAAAAATAAATGTAGCTCAATTTAAAATATATAGTATTGCAGAAGTGTGGATGTATTTTTTAAAAAAATGGGTTTCCCTTGCTTGCTTCTTTAGGTATATGTATATATGTATAGTGTGTGTATGTGTGTATGCATATAAATAATAACTTATTAATAAAACTCTTTTAAGCAAATGTTAAAATATTCCTCATTTAAGTGATTCATTCATTGAACGTATTTGATAAGAAAGATTCAGTCTTCGCCGCTGAGCGTCAAATTTGCTCAACGTGATTAGTATGGTTTCAATTTTATGTTATTGATTGACCTTATATGTCATTCGAGCTTCTAGACTTTTGGCCACTCTTGTACCAGCATTAAAGAGTCAAGCCAAAAATCAACAAAATAGTTTTAAAGTTTCTGTTTTTTTTTTTTGTTTTTTTTTTTAAAACATTTTTTTTTGTGTGTGTTAAAATTTTTTTTTTTGAAAAATAAATTATATCAAAAACGTTGGAGTGTCCTAGTTTTGAAAACTGTTAANAGTTGTCAAAGAGGGCGTCATGGTGGCCGAGGAGCGAAGAATGGAAGAGGCTGCAGACAGAAGAGCTAGGAGAAAGGCCAAATCATTTGGAAGCACAGAACTCGTGTGTAAAAACTGTGGTAAAGACTGTCACTCAAGGATAGGACTGCACAGCCACTCGAGAAAATGCAACCCAACCCAACGGTGATGCACCATCGTCTCACGAGACGGAAGGATGCCGATAGATGTCGTCGTTAATAATAATCAAGCAGTCCAAGTCATATTATATGAAATTGCAATGATGTGTTCAGGCGTAGAATCACTTCCAATCCCCCATAGCCCAGTTGCGTAGCTAAGGGGTGGGGGGGGGGGTGTGCGGAACGCACCGGGTGACACCATCTCGGGGGGTGACACCAAGTTGAAAAATTGCATATTTACAGAGCACACGCTGATTGGTCTAACCGAATTTCATCAAATAAAAGGATTCAACTCCAAATGAGATGCTCGGTAACTATCGTAAGTGACAGGAAGCTATATTTATCTTAATGCTGAGAAATAATGCTTTCCATTGATACCAAATACGATGTGTTTGGGCGATTATATGGCAAACAATTTTCTAATATCTTTTAATTCTTAATTTAAATAGCCACAGCGAAACAAGAAAATATTTTTAATCATTTTAGGGTAAAAAAGCGTTTATTTACAATAAAAACAACAAACAGAAAAGTATAATTTAAAAAAATCGAAAGAGTAAATAAGAGTAGTAAAGAAAGAATTTAAACTATATTTAAAACACAACATAATATTAGTGATAAAGAAATAATTAAATCGGGGAATAATTTTTTTATTATTTTAAATATAGTTTTTTCCCCCAATCTTAAATCATCAAGTTTTTTATTTTTTGTGACGCCATTAAAACTCTACTTCCGGTGAAATTTAAACTATGAATTTCTTTGATTACTTTGAAGGGGGAAAAACCACTAATGATTAAAAAAATGAATAACATAAGGCGTATATGGTAAAACAAAAACGGTTAAGCCGATTCCTAGCGAGATGCGTATTTCCTAAATGAAAGCATTGGCTCTGCTCCTCGTCTTGTCATTTGCTCCTTATGAAACTTCAGCCCAGATCTCCTCGTTCGGAAGAGATTTCTTGATCGCACTGCCCAGGTTAATGAACAGGAATTCCGCTGGCGAAGATCGGCCGTGGGTAATATTTTACATGGTGACCTTACTTTCGGAGGAAGTGACTGTCAATATCTCTACCGCCAGAAAGCCGAGCTACAACTTCAGCATGGTCGTCACGCTTAAGAGCAAACAGGTGTTGCAGTTTATCCTCACGCAGCTGGAGTACTACTCCGAGGTGTACATGGGGCCGAAGTGGTGCTTCCGGTTCGCCGGGACGGACGAGTTTTCGCTGAACATTTTTTTGCTGGACACGACCGTGTCCCAGGCCACTTTCCTCGCCGTGCCCGTCAGTTCATGGGGGAGGATATACTATGCTGCCACCCTGCAGTCGTACCCTTCCATTCAAATCATCAGTAACTCTGAAAACAACGGCGTTATCATCGCGCCGCGTTTTCGGGGAGACCCGAGGCCCGTGCTCAACTACGGGAACGCAAACTACGGGAGCGCCGGCAATCTCAGCATCATTTTGGACAAATGGAGCGCGTTCGATGTCTCCGAATGCAGCGGGGAGAGTGCCGGGCAAGCGTCCATGACTGGGACTCTCATCGTCGGGCAGAAAGCCATAGGCGTCATCAGTGGCAACTGCCGTACGATCACGCAAACGTCTGACTGTAAGAGTGGAGCTCAGCAATTAGGGAAAACGAGTGATATCGTTGTCGAAATGTTGCTACCGGTCGAATCTTTTGGGACTGAATTCATAATTGTGCACGTTGAAAGAAAGGAAAAGGGCCTGGTGATGATCGTTGCGGCGGAGCCCAAGACGCACGTGAACATTAGTCAAAATTATACCGTAAAAACTGTGCATTATGAGAACGCTGGCGACTGGACCATGGATTTGGTCATGGACGCCAACCGAATGTTGGTGAGCAACAAAAGAATACAAGTCCTCATGGTCATGAGGTCTGCTTGTTACGAGTCGAACGGTTTCGTGGAAGAGCAAGGCGACCCTGGGATGAGCCTGGTCATCCCCAACACCCTTTTTTACGTCAAATACGCCTGGAGGGTTCCTAAAACTCGCTTCAACCATTACGTCATTATCGTAGCTTTGAAAGACCACATTGAAAACATTGAGCTGAACACAAGACCCTTACCGAGTTCTTTCAAGAGGCACGATGTCCTTGGGAGCTCGAAGTTTCAGGTGGTCACGATTCTAAGCATTGAAAAAAAACACAACGTCACTTCGAAAGATGACCAACCGTTCGGCTGCTATCTGATGGGGATGGCCCCTAAACGGCAGTACTTGCGCCCCGCGGGATTCCGTGGCTGCCACAAATCCATTGAGTTCATGGTCGAGGGAGACCGAAAGGACAACGACTGCGACGGGAGCGTCGACGAGGAGTTTATGGATGGCAAAGACAACGACAATGACAACAGAATCGACGAAGACGTACGCCGCAAAAGCGACCCGTACGACATTGATGGGGGATGGGGCGCTTGGCAGGCCTGGACGTGCAAGCCGAGCTGTGTCCACAAGGTCCTCATCAGGGCGCGGCTCTGCGACAACCCGGCCCCGAGCGGCGTGGGTGTCCCTTGCCGGGGCGTCGATCAGGAAACGCAGAACAAATCATGCCGCCCCAACATACCCTGTCCCTCGTGTCGGCCCTACACGTACGGCGAGAACTGCAGCAAGAGCTGCAAAAACTGCGCCCGCGCGTGCCACAACGAGACAGGCCAGTGTCCCCACTGCAAAGACGGCTACAAGAATCCCGAAAGAGGTTGCAACACCGCTTGCGGTTGGGACGAGTACGGGCAGGGCTGCCTGAGCAGGTGCTCGCTCAAGTGCCATGGTCAGGACTGCCTCAACCGTGTCACTGGCGAGTGCCCGCGCTATCAGAACTACATTCTGTTGATACCCCTGCTGCTGGTGATACCGGTGGGGCTGTCCCTATTGCTGTTCAGAAAAAAGCAGAAGCAACAAGCCCACGAGTATGAGCATTGACCTCACACGGCAAGCCGGTGGATTCGGGAATAGTTTTTTGTACGTGCATGCGTTGGCGCTTTTCTCGTTATCTCTCAAGCTATTATTTTTTTCCACACCAACTCTTGAGGGCTATACAGAAACTCCGTGACCCCCCATCCACATACACACACATACATACACGCACGTACACTCTCGTATACACAAACACACAAACAAAATCCAATGAATAATTTTAAAATATTTGTGTAAAAATATTCAACATGTATTTGTCTCATATAGTGGACCACTATGATCTTCTTATTTAGGACCGCTATGGTCCTATAGTGTGGAGCATTATAATCTTATATTGTGGACCATTATGATCATATATTGTGGACCAATATGATATTATATAGTAGAGCATTATGGCTTGATATAGTTGATTAATATGATCTTATTTAGTGGACCACTATGATCTTTTATAGTGGACCATTATGATCTTATATAATGGATCACTATAATCTTATATTGTGGACCGCTATGACCCTATATCGTGGATCCTTTTAATCTTATAAGTGGACCACTATGATCTTATATAGGGGACCACTGTGATCTTAAATAGAGGAATACTAATGGAGCATGTAAGTTCAAGTGATATTTGCCATTGCCCTTTCATCACTATGGGTTATGGCAGTAGAGTGGGCAGCCGTGTAGGCCAGGGTGAAGGGGGGCTGGCAAACTACAGCCTGTGGGTCTCTTGCAGCCCATGACCTCGGTTGATGTGGCCCACGGAGTCAATAATGATTTTTTTAAAAATAAAATTATAGATGGCTTAACGTCTACTCATCGGTTGCTTACACACGTAATAAAGGGCAAATTTGCATGGTTTAAAATGGTGTCTGGTCCAAGCTGAAATTTTCTTCATTGCGTTACTCAACAAAATGCATTGTCAGGCTTTGGTCCAGTCAATCTACATGAGGTTCATTAGAGATGAGATCAATACCACGCTACTTTGTGCAAGGAGTTCTTCAAGACTTAAGACGGTAGTTTTAGGGCAATTTCTTTTTCAAGATCCGTCAGCAAGTGCAAAAAAAATATGTAATCTTCCAAAAACCCGTTGGGTTGTGAAGCTGCTGGCCTGAACTTAAAGCGGAGGCCATCGATCTGCTTTTCAATGAGTTACTGATAATCAGAAAATCAACATGCTCTGTTAAAATGCCTTTCCTCGTTAATCGTGTTCACTCTTCTAAACTTTCTCCTTGTGTGTGCGGACATTTTCCGACATGAAACACGTGAAATCTTGCTACAGAGTAACATTATCTGAAGAGGACTATTAATCAGTTTTGATGATAAAGTGATTCCTAAATTTCAACCTCAAAGAAAGGTTTTTATGTCCGATAAAAAGCACTAGTTTCATGGTTCTCACTCATGCGGAAAAAAACACTGTTGTACAATTCAAATGTTTTCCATCTTATAATTATTAATTTTTTTTTACACATATAAATGATTAAAAAAAAATATTATTTTTTTTTGTAATCTCAATGAAATTAATGTAATCCGACTATATTATAAAAGCAGCGATTTATTGCTTCTTGTTACATATTAACAAGGAAATAAAACTATGTCGTACATGTTATCTATTTGTTTGATAATCTGTTCCAGCATAAGTCCACTTTGATTTTAGGACACTCTATAGTCTGTCCAAACTTCATGTCTCCCTCACCCACCCCCTCCCCATGCCGACGAAATATTCTTACCGGAACACGTCAAAAAAAAAAATTAAAAAAAAAAGACCACTTGTGAAGGCAATCTTGTCATTTAAAAAAAACTTTGTTGTATATAAACTTTCATAAGTATAAACAATTGTGTTCACGCGTTGTTTTATAATCCCTTTCAATTTTATCGGCGACTGTTAATTAACGGATGTATCAGAGTCGGCACTAGGAGTGTGTGAGGCCTTAGGCGAATTTAAAAACAAAAATTATCAGTGCGGTTGACTTTACGTACCATAGCCGATAAGATAGGAGGACCCGTCATAGACACACTTGGTCTTAATGGTCATAATGATTGGACTCTTCATGGCAGGTATTTGCTTACTCATTTGGCTTCCCAATTTTTTTATTTAAAAAAAAAAAAAAAAAAAAAAAAAAATTGCTGTACCTGTTGAAGTGTCCGGAGCCAAGTAACGCACAGCGACGCCAATTCTGTTAATGGTATGACTGTGACAAAATAGATTCCAAAAACACAACGCTGAATCGGGTATGCGCTATCCAATGTCACTGCATAATTTGAATACAAATAAAATTGGCCTTCAGACACTAGTCAGGCAGATTGGCTTACAGACACTAGTCAGGCAGATTGGCCTACAGACACTAGTCAAGCAGATTGGTTTACAAACACTAGTCAGGCAGATTGGCTTACAGACACTAGTCAGGCAGATTGGCTTACAGACACTAGTCAGGCAGATTGGTTTACAGACACTATTCAGGCAGATTGGCTTACAGACACTAGTCAGGCAGATTGGCATACAGACACTAGTCAGGCAGATTGGCTTACAGACACTAGTCAGGCAGATTGGCTTACAGACACTAGTCAGGCAGATTGGCTTACATATACACTATAGTCAGGCAGCTAATGAAACAGAGACCAAAATCCACAAAAAGTTCTTATCACATCAGCATTTCAGTAATTAGCTTAACGTCGAAATTTGTGTCTTTATGTGGAAAAAACTTTAGAACCACGAGAGGAAACATCTTGAATTGTGATTCGACAACATATCCTTAGATTATCGATGTCATTAAAGGAATGGGCGAATATATTTTAAGCGAAACACAGTCATTTATTGGGGTGCTTCAGGGTTGTAATGCATTGGCATAAACAAAACAAAAATCCTTTGGCAAAAAAAAAAAAAATTAAAGCAAATATGCGGACAATTCAAAATATAAAAGATTGCTTTGAACGAATAATTAACTTGCGCTCTTGGTGGCAAACACAACAGGCAGTTTTATCTTCCTCAATTGTTGTAACAATGTCTCGTTTAATGACAATTGTTGCCAATGCATTCAATTGAACCTGAGACACCAGTGATCTCTATTAAGGGGTTACCCACCTAAATTTAAAAAAAAAAAAAAAAGATTAATTCAAGCGTTGGCGACCGTTATCACCACTGTCCACATGCGTTTGTACATTGCCATGGTTACCAGCACTGTTGACATTAGTTTGTACATTGCCATGGTTACCAGCACTGTTGACATTAGTTTGTACATTGCCATGGTTACCAGCACTGTTGACATTAGTTTGTACATTGCCATGGTTACCAGCACTGTTGACATTAGTTTGTACATTGCCATGGTTAACAGCGCTGTTGACATTAGTTTGTACATTGCCATGGTTAACATCGCTGTTGACATTAGTTTGTACATTGCCATGGTTACCAGCACTGTTGACATTAGTTTGTACATTGCCATGGTTACCAGCACTGTTGACATTAGTTTGTACATTGCCATGGTTACCAGCGCTGTTGACATTAGTTTGTACATTGCCATGGTTACCAGCACTGTTGACATTAGTTTGTACATTGCCATGGTTACCAGCACTGTTGACATTAGTTTGTACATTGCCATGGTTAACAGCGCTGTTGACATTAGTTTGTACATTTCGACGGTTATCAGATGTGTTAACATTAATTTATACTCGCTACGGTTGTAAGTATACTGTTAACATTAGTTTGTACATTGCTGTGGTTATCAGCAATGTTAACATTAGTTTGTACATTGCTGTGGTTATCAGCAATGTTAACCTTAGTTTGTACATTGCTGCAGTTATCAATGCTGTTAATACTTATTTGTACTTGCCATGGTTATCAGCAGTGTTAATAATAATCTTTATTTGCTATGGTTATCAGCAGGTTTAACACGTTTGTACTTGCTATGATTATCAGCAGTTTTAACACTAGTTTGTAAGTGTTATGGTTATCAGCAATGTTAACATTAGTTGGCACGGGATCGCAGCACTAGGAAGAGAATGTTCAAGCTGCGCTGGGATTTGAAGACACCGTCGTAATGTTTGTACGTCTGGAATAACTTACTTCAGGACCATCAAGTCTCCTAGCATTGTTGTATTAAAGACACCGATCACGCAATTCATATTCTCATATAAGGGTAGGCCATACAAACCAGATACGTCTGCAACTTATAGTAAGTGTAGTGCACTCGTAATCCTAATTTTTGTTTTAAAAGATTTAAGAACACCAGAGCGAAGTAAGCATGCTTCAGTAGCATGGATACCAGCGCTATATAAATATCCAATCAATCAACCAATCAGTCACATGCGTACATCCAGGCAGGAATTAACAGACCATG